AGCCTATATAAAGATAAGCCAATGAGTTGCAGTAGTCGAGGCAAGAGATAACCAGGTAGTGAATTAGGAGCTTTGTGGTATCATTTGGTTAAAAAAGGGGTGTATTCTGGAGATGTTGAGGAGGCATGATTTGGACAGGGATTGGATGTGGGCCTGAAAAGATATTTCAGAATCCAGGGTTACTCCTAGCACCCTGGCATGCCATGATGGGTTGATAAGATATTCGTGCCATTGATCCTGACCCAGAAATCAGGGGAAGAGGCACGTGGGGGAGGAAATATTATGAGCTCAGTTTTGGATAGATTGAGCTTTAGGAAGTGGTATAACATCCAGTCTGATATGTCTGTTAGTAAATCTGTGACACGTGGTAATTGATGGGGTGAGCTGAGGAGTAGAGAGATAGATTTGTGTGTCATCAGCATAGAAATGGTATCGGAAACCATGGGAAGCTATCGGCTGACCCAAGGAAGAAGTGTAGATCAAGAATAGGAGAGGTCCAAATACCTTGGGGGACCCAGACAGTAAGGAGTAGGAGAGGAGGAAGCAGAGTTGTGACACTGAAGGTGCGGTGAGATAGGGAAGGTTCGAACCACCGGAGAGAACAGTCATGGAGACCAATTAAATAGAGTTTTTTGAGGAGGAGGGAGTGGTCGAAGAGTAAGAGTACAGAGTAGTGACCATTGGTTTTAGCAGTTAGTAAGTCGTTTGGGAGTTTTAGGAGAGCAGTGGAGTGTTGTGGGTGAAATCCAGGCTGAAGGGGATAGAGAAGGTTATTCTCAATAAGGTGGCAGCTCAGCCAGTTGTAGACTAGACGTTCAAGGAGTTTGGAGGCAAAAGGGAGTAAGGAGATGGGTCTTAGGTAGCTAAGATTGGTGAGGTCCAGTGGGGCCTTTTTAAGTATGGGGGTGACTAGCGTATGTTTTAGAGAGTTGGGGAAGATACCAGTAGAAAGGGAGAGATTGAAGATATGAGTTAATGTATGAAGGATAGAGCCAGAGGATGACTGTAGTATTTGCAAGGGAACAGGGTCCAGGGGACAGGTGGATAGGTGGGCTTTAGAAAAAAGTTTACCAACCTCCTCTATAGTAGCTGGGTTAAACAAGAAGTATAGATTGTTTAGGTGGACAATGAGTGTAGGGTGAGGGATATATCTGTACAGTGGAGATCTGATCACAAATTGTATCAATTTTATTTTTGAATAGATTAACGATCTCCTGGCCAGTGAGTGAGTTATTGGGTGGAGGTAAAGAAGAATGAAGTAGAGAGGTAAAGGTAGAAAAGAGTTGACAAGGATTGGGTGAGAGGATGTTAATGAGAGTGATAAAATAGGTCTGTTTGGCATGTAGAGACAGCAATTGTATTTTTGAAGGGCAGATTTATATTGGTTTAAGTCTTGCTGGGTCTTAGTCTTACGCCATAAATGCTCAAGACCACGGTTACGTTTTTGGAGGCAATTTGTATTGTCTGTTTGCCAGGGCTGTATCGGTCGGGGCCTAATTCTGTGTGTAGTGAGGGGGGCCAATGTGTCCACGGTGGATGACACCAAATAAAGGTGAAGTATAGTATATTGCAGCTTACAGCACTTAGATATGGCAACTGCATTTTTATATATTATTTCAGGATTTTTCCTTTTTTTTTTTTACCTGGTGATTCTGCCAATAGCACCCATTCTCTCCTGGAGTGAAAATGCTTACTCACTGCACTGTATCTCTAGAGGAGCACAGTCCTCGCCCTAGGCTGCACTTCTCATCTGGACTACAAACACCTCCCATCTCTCTTACATAGAGGAGTGTTGCTTTGTGATTCATAGATGATAGCTGAGAATGCTAATCACATTGATTTCAGTTCAATCCAGAGGAAGTGACAAGATGCAAGATTCAGGGCAAAGCCAACAGATGCTCTCTGTACTTTGAGAAAATGTACTTAGCCTTAAAAATAGAAAACAAATGCAGCCACCACACCTAGTGACCTGTAAGCTGCTATGTACGTATTATATGTTTTTTTTTTTCATGTTTAGATATTCTTAAGGACCCATTCACACTTTGCATTTTTTGTGCATTGCATTGACCTGTATTTTGTTATTTTAAGTGGTTCTAAAGGCTTCAGGGTTTTTACCATCCAGCGATGTCCACAATAGCCTTGGCTCTCCAGGGACTCTCACTCCTGATTGGCTGAGGCAGCAGCGGGAGCCATTGGCTCCCACCGCTGTCAAGCACAGACAGTGGGCCAATCAGGAGAGGGGGTGGGCCGAGCCAATTCACAGCTCTGTGTATGAACTGACACACAGAGCCACGGCTCGGGAGAGCTCCTGCTTGGGTGCTTCCATAGCAAGCTGCTTGCTGTGGGAGCACCCAACAGGAGGGAGGGGCAGGATAACTGACAGGGGACCCGAGGAGAGGAGGATCCAGGCTGCACTGCACAGAGCAGGTAAGTATGACATGTTTGTTATATAAAAAAAAACACAAGAGACTTTAATTGTATTGTATTAAGGCAGTCTATTTGTTTTGAATGGGATGCCAATGCACAAGAATGGACAAAAAAAAAAAAGCTATGTTGCCTTGAGAGGCTCTGAAACATCAGTTTCTTATGCCTTAATTGCCTTCACAATAAACACACAAAATGCTTTTATTTGAAGTTCTGGTGACTTTGCATCTGGTTCTGCAACGGCACTATCTGTTCTGCCACTTTGAAAACCCATCATTGCCAAGTCGAGTAAGCTGAGGAGGGCAGCTTCTATTTGGACTTTGCCTTGGTGTTCTGGGATACTGTTCAAGACATAACAAAAAGGTGTGTTTTGTCCCTTGACAGCTCTTCAGCTGCTTTTCCTATTGCTGATGAAACTCTTCTTCTGCCAACACTTTTTCAAAGCCCTTTAAAATCCTAGGTTAGCCTTTCTCAACCTATTTATCCTAGAGGAACCCTTGCAATAATTTTCCAGCCTTGGGGAACCCTAGAAGAAACCCCCTCATTGGGAGTCAGCGGGAAAATGGCCCGATACATTGGGAAAATATCTCTCTTCCAGTGAATGTTAGAATGCCACCCCAACAGACAGCTAAAAGATCATTGTGTCCTGCTGCTGGCTCTGCCACATGGAGGTAACGCTACAACTATGCAGGCACCATCAAATGGGAGGTCCATCAGCCACAGCTTAGGGAACCTCTAGTAACCTCTGGAAGAACTCTTGTTGATAATGGCTGTCCTAGGCCTTTACTAGTTGTGTGAATAGTGTTGGACAGAGCCCAGATCAGACCCAAGGGGGTTGATTTACTAAAACTGGCGAGTGCACAATCTGGTGTAGCTCTTCATAGAAACCAATCAACTTCCAGTTTTTTTGCTAAAGTTTAATTGAACAAGCTGAAGTTAGAAGCTGATTGGCCAGTATGTACAGTACAGCTGCATTAGATTTTGCACTCTCCAGTTTTAGTAAATCAACCCCAAGGAATCTGGCAGCCCTGCAGTGCTCCAGCCTTGTTCACAAAGGTAACCTCAAGCCAACTTAACACTTTAGGCTTCATGGACACGAGCAGCTCCTAAACTCGAGTTTAGGCGTTGTGGCATTTTTTTTGCCAAAGCTCCGTAACTCCACTCCATAAAAGCTTATGTGTCCATGTACACATAGGCTTTTAGCAGAGTTTACTAGGTGCCACGTTTTAGGTGAGGTTAAACCTCCCTCTCCTGAACGCGGAAGAATCGCATTTAGGATAGGAACGTTTTGACCGTCAACTGTGGGAAAACGCGTCAAAATCGTGGTACCACATTTTCCCACGGCCGGCGGTCAGGCTAGGCTCGTGTATATGGAGCCTTATTGTGCAAGACCAAAACAGTTGCCTAGACTTCTGTAGACTGCCTGTAAAGCTGAAATGCTTTACTAAAAGGGGTACAAATGGAAAACACAATCATGTAATTTATAAAGGAATAGGATCATTTTTCATGTGACCAACATTATCCAAAGATATCATCAGTGAAGGCTGAGAATAGCCTCTCCAGGTAAGTAAGCCAAATGGTCCTTGGAGTCATAAAGGAATACATTTCTCTGATAAAGGCAAGAGTGGGCAAAGTTGCCATTCTCTGGATGAACGTTGTGAGAGGTTGAACTTGATGGACATCATTCTTTTTCAGTTCAGCTCAATTCCACCCATAATACAGGCTGTAGATCCTGCTGAACCTAACCCTTGCAGGCTGGTTGGGTATTACTGTATAGTAGTCCCCTGCCGCACTCAGTGGTTCGATCCTCTGTCCCTACATCAGTACTGTGTCATGTGATGAGGTGAGGGTGAAGGGGAGGAACCAAACTGTGCTGCAGGGGAGTAGGAGAGTGACACTTCCAGGGGAGTATTAGAGTGACACTTCCAGAAGTGTCAATTTTGGCAGGTTCTGAAAGTTTGTCTTTAATTTTTCATAATTTTAAATTCAACATTTTAATATCAAAGCTGCTCTTATCCAATGTTCACATAGTACATATGTACTTCTAATTGGTGAAAAAGAAGAAACCTGACAGCACCAGGCATCTAGCACTGTATGAAGGGGGGTACCAATGACATCTCCATTCCTCTCAGTTCACGTTGAAGTCATTGCTCATGCAGAATGTCTGGATGACTAATCAGCAACCAGTTTCTCAAGCTCCATCCCCTCTCTACCTCTTATCAAAGACTCAGGCGTAGGAGGAGGAGGCAGACAGACAGCTTTCCAGCACTGGCATTCAGTATAGCCGAGCAGGTACGGTTCAATGTTGGAAAATAGATGCGGCCTAGTTTAGGCCCCAGGCTGCGAAGTTTCCTTCTGCGCACATCCGTGTACCTCCTAAGTGTCAGAGGCAGCTGGGCAGGAAAGGGTTGGGGCTGATTTAGCACTGCAGCAAACTCCAGAGACTAAAGGGTTAGTAGAAGTAGTGTTGTGGAGGCCGGGCCTGTGTGGTGTCTGGGAGGCGGGCTTCCTAGTTCAGGAAGGGAGGGAGGACTTCCATAGGCCGCTCCCTCCTCGAGTGTTTGCGGTGCCGGGCCATGTTGCAGGGCTCACGCCGCCTCGCCAGCTGCCTGTGGGGGTTCCGCTCAGTCTCAGCAGGGTAAGAAGGTGGGAGAACCGCGGCCTACAAGTGCACCCTCCATCTCCCTCCCCTGACACACCACACCCGGCCGGTACGTTCTTCCACCGCGCCTCGACACTCTGCAAAAGTCGTGAGTCAGCAGCCTGTCTGGTTTGGGGTGGAATGTTCCAGGGACAGCCCGAGCTTCTCCTCTGTCCCTGGAATTCGCTTCTGAAGGACAGCCGTTTCCTATGTGTGTGTGAGGTGACATTCCCAGCAGACATATTGTCCTGGGCCTATGTGGTGGGGAATGGCAGTCATTGAGGGGCTGTCTTCTCTGTACTATATTAGTATTGTAGTACATGCTCAGATACTGCAGGGAAAGCTTCCTCGAATCGAGTCTGTTTACATACAGGTTTGTTCACCATGTCACGGGTACGGCAGTCCACTCAGTGAGCTGGGAAACGTGAGGAAAGAAACCCTCGACCCTTTCAGTTCACTTGATGCTGCGGCACCACACAGTGTGGCCTGTACAAAAGTGTGCCGTGGTTGATGCATGAGGGTGTCACTAGGGCCCATTCACAACAGAACGTGATGCAGGAAAGCAGCGTTCTGTGCGCATTTGAAATGCTCTGGCTGTGCGATCTGCTGCCGGTGTCAATGTATTCCTAATGACACCAAAAGAGCAAATCACAAATTCAGTGTGTTTGCCTGCACCAGATAGCACGGTGCTGCAAACGTCATGTGATTGGGTTACAGTGCGTTTGAAATGCTACTTTTGGGGTGATCCACGTGAATGGGCTGAGAAGTGCACTGCACCGAATCGCACAGTGACGCAGACTGTGTTCTTGTCCAATTCAGGTGTAAATCATCCCTTTCATGTGTTACACCCATATTCAGGGTGTAACATATTACAAATGCACTGGTCCCCCCTGATCCCCGGTTGTGGGGGTTCTTCGCTCATTGACAGCTGTCTCAATCTGAAAAAAACATCTATTCGAAAGAGCAGGGCCCTCAAACCCCTCGGGTAGTGTATTGTTACTGTCGTGTCTCATGTTCTGTCCCCCTTGCTACTGTACAGTGCTGAGCAAACCCTTTGGCGCTATATAAATACTGTATAATAATTCACACTGTTCTGTGAAGGAAAACTATAAGTCCCAACAGCTCTTGTTTTTTTCCCTGGAAGGTCGGGTAAGTAATTCTGCTTTTCCATCCCCTCTAGACCTAAATGAGCAGTTAAAGGGGAACTAAAGACGCTATACTTCTTTCTAACAGTCCGGGTCTCATGCCGGCACCAACATCTTCTCGCTGGGTGCTGGTCTTTAGGCATCTCCATTGGCCGCCGCAGGATGGGACAATTCCTGCTTATGCGCAAGAGTCACAGGGACAATGCCAGTGACTGAGTTGTACAGCTCAGTTTACTTGCCACAGAAGAGTGCGAGTGGTAAGGTAGGTGTATTTTATTGCAGAAAAGACATTGGGGGTGTTTTACTAAAACTAAAGAGTGAAAAATCTGGTGAGCGCTGCATAGAAACCAATCAGCTTCCAGTCTTGTCAAAGCTTAAAGGAGAAGTACAGCCAAAGCTCTTTTGGCTGTACTTCTCCTGTGGATCACAGGAGTGCAGTTCGTCCAGTCCGCCGATGGCTGACGTCACTCAGCCAGGCAGGTCCAGGATTCGGAAAGATCCTGACTTTAAAGTTGGGATCCACCCCAGAGTCTGGATCGGCACCTGGCTCAGCCTCTCAGCGATCTGCTGAGAGTCTGAGCCAGCCGCTCCCTCCATAGCCCAGCGCTCCAGTAAGCGCCGGGGGAGGGGCAGAGCAGACAGCGATGTCTGATAGTCACTGTTCTTCACTCAGAGCGGACAGGAGAACTCAGCAGTCGGGGGGGGGGGGCAGATGCTGGGGGGGGGGGGGGGGGGGGGGGGGGGGGGGGGGGGGGGGGGGGGGGGGGGGGGGGGGGGGGGGGGGGGGGGGGGGGGGGGGGGGGGGGGGGGGGGGGGTGGATCCACCACCTACGTAAGTATAAATAAGAAAAAAAAAAAAAAAAGCCCTACATCTCTTTTAATTGTACAAGCTGAAGTTAGAACTTGATTGGCTGCCATGCACAGCTGCACCAGTTTTAGTAAATCTACCCCTCTGCATGCATCTTCTGCGATAATAGCCAGCCTGTCTGTTGTAAAATGCCTTCAGTTCCACTTTAATTCCTGCAGTGCAGTTCCACTACCAGGAAATATTTTTCAATTTCCTGGAGTTCAGCTTCAGGACCTGGTTCACAACTGCACTTTTATGGGCATTTTGCAATGCGTAAAAACGCAGGTCATGAAAATGCATAGTTTTTCAATTAGGCCATTCACATTTGTGTGCTGCTTTGTTAAAAATGAGGCATGTCCATTATTAAATGCATTTTTTTAGCTCATTGAAGCAAATGTAAAAATGTGTATAAAACCAAGAAATTTGTATGACAGAGAAAGCGGGAGACCTGTGAACCCAGCCTAAGAACAACGTAAGCTCTTCAAAATGCATGCCAGTTTGCATCAACGTATGTTACAGCAGAATGGGATTCATTCCAAACATTGAGTTTTCCTCTCTGCTGCGTATCGCATTTAGGCTGGTGGGAGCTGGTGCTTCAAATGGGCCATGAGTCCCTGGGACAGTAGGGGGGGCTCCAGATCGTGCAATATTGCAGTTGGCTGCATGTTATTGTTAGCTGTCCTGTTAACTCCCAAATGTTGGTGATTGACCACAGGCTGTCAGTGCCAATGATGCAAACTCCAAAACACTGTGGTGGCTGGGCATTAAGGCTCACCCCCCCCCCCCCCCCCCCCCACACTGTTGCATACATGTGTATTGCTGTTGTAAAGGGTTAAAGACATTTTTAAATTACATTTTTATTTTACTCTGGTCCACCCCCTGCCTCCCTTCTTGCCTAGGTGACAATGATGTATCCTGCGCCTTCAGGCTTTGGGAATCCCTGTCAGGTATTCCAGGATCCTGCAGGATCAGGGATACACAGCAGTTGGAGGGTTGACTTAACACATGACTGAGGGCCAGTTATAAGATCCTGGAATAGACAGCAAGTTCATGATGTAGAGGAGCGGATGGTGGCCAGTCATGAGGCTGCGGAAGGACTGATTGCAGCAGGAGAGCACTGGATACATTGGGTTTGTCAGTATAAGCTAACCCTGCAAAAAAGGTAAGAGTGGATATAAGAAGAAAAAAAAAAAAAAAAAAAAAAAAAAAAAAAAAGGTATGCTTGTCCTCTTTCTTACCTGCATTTTCAATGTGTGTTGCAGTGATCATTGTACTGACCATCTTCACACATCAACGTGCATTATAATGGTTACTGTTAAAGTGGAGTTCCACCCTGAAGTTCCGCTCTAAAGATTGGTCCCCCCACCCCCCATTAAGGATTGACACCTTTTGGGGGGGACGGGTACCCGAATTTGAGGTACCTGTTCCCGCTGCGTTCACCTGGGCGATCGGGAATGGACGTTGTCCTCCTACACAAAGTCTTGTGGGACACGTGACAGGTCCCAGAAGACGACGGGGCCATGCAGGAAGCGCAGGAATCCCACTGAAAGTTAAAGGATAAGTTCACCTTTTAGTAAATAATAAGTGCACATTTTTTTGCTGGTAAAAATATGTGCATTTATTATTTTTGTCTGCAGGAGCCTGGAAAGCATTGCACCAGCGAAAAAGCTGGTCCCGTGGCTCGTGGTGGTCCAATCATTACTGGAGATTGGGATCTGTCTGACAGCTATGCTACTGTCCTATGAGCATGCTCTCGGCACAGAAACCATGGACTTGTGTTGGCAATAAAGTCCACCCTCTTGTCCACCTCACATATGCGGTACATGGACGTAGTTGCACTATTGATAAATGTATTGCTTATTAGTTTTATAGAGTTTCAATATTGTAACGCTTAAAAATTTTGATCTGAATAGTTTATATACAGTATGGCTTTTGTTTTAGCTATCTTGTCTTTTTAAAAGCGTTTTTGATAAGATGAGACTGTTATATAGAGAGATACTCACCGGCCACTTTATTAGGTACACCTGTTCAATTACTTTGTAACACAAATTGCTAATCAGCCATTCACATGGCAGCAATTCAATGCATTTAGGCATCTAGACATGGTGACATGACTTGCTGAAGTTCAAACCGAGCATCAGAATGGGGGGGGGGGGGTAAAGGGGATTTGGATGACTTTGACCGTGGCATGGTTGTTGGTGCCAGACGGGCTGGTCTGAGTATTTAAAAAATTGGGATTTTCACACACAACCATCTCTAGGGCTTTCAGAGAATGGTCAGAAAATGAGAAAATATCCAGTGAGCTGCAGTTGTGTGGATCAAAATGCCTTGTTGATATCAGAGAATAGGCAGACTGGTTGCTGTGACATTCAGATGGTAGGGTCAGAATATGGTGTAACAAAAATTGAAGCATGGATTAATCCTGCCTTGTATCAGTGGTGTTCAGAGTGGTGGTGTAATGGTGGGGGGGGGGGGGGGGGGGGGGCATTTTCTTGGCACTGACAAGGTGTACCTAATAAAGTGGCCAGTGAGTGTAGATCGATATTATACAACGTAGATACATAAAGTCCTGGGTCATGTTTGTTTTGCTGTATGTAAAATATTTATACATTAATCGGGAGCATGACAGATGCTTGTTACCCCTCTTTGCTGTATACTAGCAACACCAGAACTCCATCGTCATATATCATTTTACTGACTATGGGATCAGTATAACAACCAAACACATTCCTTAATAATTAATTACTCAAATTTCAGATAAGTTGTGTTTTTTTTTTTTTTTTTTGTTTTTTTTTTTTTTTTAGTAGTAAAGGTACTCTTATTAGGAAGTATGAAACACAAGGATTTGCTGTGTAATCCATTTGAGCCTGTTGACATTGGAAGTTATCAGTAGTTGTGACTCAACATCACAACATGTGAATGTGAGGGCAGCACACTGCCATGCTGAGTAAGCTGACCTTTGAGATATTGGGTGACATGATCCAGCAGTGCTTCTGGCGTTATGT